TCGCCCTGCCGGCACGCCGCCTCCCGCTCAACCGCATCGTCCACCCGCAATTTCGTATCACGCCCGCCGCATCAACATTTCCTCTATCGCATCATCATCGCGCGTCCTATCGGACGCTTATGCTTTTCCCTTCTCTCATATGGACATGGCTATTCCATGCACTCCCTATTCCTCATTGGTATCATATGAGAACCTGGCACAGGTTCTGAAGGGGGAGAATGTAACGGATCGTTCATTATCTTATCTTATCTACATAGTTAATCTACATCTTGTATCTAAATCTGGATCGTCATGGTGATCGGCGCTGATCCATCTGGATCCGCGCGACGTGGCGAAGGCTTCTCAGCCTTTCACCACGTCCACCATAGTATACGCCCTCTCAATCTAGAGATTGGTTCAGTGTACTTTGGACTTGTGTGAATCAGGCGACACCCGTATTATTACAGGTGAGCCGGAAAACTAGAAGACGTCAGATGGGGTCAAGCCGTGTGATCAGCTCAGGCTCGTTGCAGAGTGCCGCGATAAGCCAGTCCAAGAACGATATTGACATCTGAGTCGCCGACGAGCCGGGGCAGCAGCGAGCTTGAATGTATTACCCCCGACCGACGAACGTTAGAGTACCTACTGAATTAGCCTGGCAAACGGGGATGGGAACGCCGTGGGTGTCACCGCTGTTAGCATGGAGGGAAGAGCTCGACAGTCGGGATTCAGAATAAAATCTGCCATCTCAGAGGACGAGTCGCATTATGTTTTATATACGGGAAAGTGTTCGAGAGCGACCGGCTTTTCAAATGAGGTATTGTGACTAGCACAATAGCTTGCGACGGCGTCGTCTCCAAGCTAGGGCATCGACACATGTCCGTAGCTCGTCCACTACACACCAAAAAGAACAAACGACTGAAATGGAGAGTAGCAGGAATGAATTGAAAGGCAAAAATATGGTTACAGTTGCTTTGGAGAACAGACAGGACGTGCATACAGGAAAACATTGCGAATACAACAATTGGAGAGAGGACGATTACACTAGCGGGCGTATACGTATGCGTATGCGTATGCAGGAGTGAAGGATCTAGTCATATGTAGTACACGGATAAAGGACGAGCGGAGCAGAGACACGGGGCGAGCAAGCAAGGGGGCATGAGCAAATACTGGGAGAGCATACATATCCAGAGGGACGGAATTGTCATCGCTTGGATGAAATCCGCGGAAGTTATGGCAATGGGGGAGGACAAGGGACATACGAGTCGTCAGACGCGTCATAATATCTTCCAGCCTTCGTCAGCGTCCACACCGCACCCTAGCAGCAGAGCGTCCAAGAACGAGACGGAACGCCCCCCACATCAGGCATCCTCCTTCTTCAGCCACTCCTCGTCTGTAGCGTTGTTCGCCTCGGCCGCGTCGACTGCCTCGAGCAGCTCCGCGTCCGCATCCGCCTCCGGATCAGCATCCGCCTCCGCATCCGCCTCGTCGGCTTCAGCGTCTGCGTCTGCATCAGCGTCGACTTCCTCTCCGTCCGCATCGACGTCCATCAGGTCGGACGACTTCGACTTGCCGTCAGACCCACGCGGAGACGTCGCGTTCTGAGGAACAGCCCCCGCCCCCCCGGACCCGGCGCGAGGCTTGAGCGCAGGCGAATGGCTCGCAGACCGGCTGGAGCCGTGCCCGTTCACGCTCGGGGGCGCCGCCCTGTGCGAATGCGAATGGGAGTGGGAGTGCGCAGCGGGGTCGCGCTCGCGGCGGCGGTGGTCGTCGTACGACCCGTCGTCCTCGTTCGCGCTCGACCCCGGAAGGGTGGCGATCCCGGGAGGGGTGGGCCCGCGGTGTGATGCGCGCGAGGTCGTGTAGGAGTGGTGGTAGGGAGACGAGGCACCTCGCTCTCGCTCGCGGTCGTGGTCGCGGTCGTGGCGGGAGTAGCCACCCTGCGAGCTCGAGAGCAAGTGTGTCCCGCTCGGGCCGAGGCGCGACTGGCTCTGCGACGAGGGGTGCACCTGGAGGGTGTCGGTGCGGTGGGGGACACGGCCGTTGGGGAGCGAGCCGGGGGGAGCTTGGTGCACGCCCGAGGGATGCACTGCGGGAGGCGGGTGCTGCATTGCGGCCATGTTCTGGCTCTCCAGTGTCCCGCGGCGCTCCACGCGCTTCATTTTCTTGCGGCACCTGCGCGAGCGAGGCGACTAGGTCAGCACTCGCGAACTAGCGGTCAGGGCAGATGGACATACCGGTCGCAGACGGTGCCGGGGCCCTCCGGACCAGGGCCCCACTTTTCGACGCACTTGCCTTCCTTGTAACGGCCGGGAAGACCGCACTGGCGGCATATGCGCTGACCGGCCGAGTTCGTTGGGGGGAAACCGCCTCCGCCGATGGGCGAAGGACCCGCTATGACGCTGCCTGTCGGACCTAACCGCAAAATCAGCACGGATGCATCAAAATAGACGGGCGACAACGCGAACATACCCAACGTCAGCACACTCCCGTTGCCACTGAGCGACCCCGCCGCACCTATCTTGGACTTCTTGACGGGTGCACCAGTGACAGGAGGTGCAAAGATATGCGTCTGGAACGTCTGCGACTGGCCAGGGGCGACCAGCGGGCCGGGCGGGGACGCGATCTGACTCGGGCCATTGACGACTCCGCCACGGGCCATGAGCGTCGAGGACGCGCGCGCGCGCTGCGGGACGCCCATCTGATAGTCGCGCCCAGGAGAGGGGGAGCGATGACGTGAAGAGGGGTGCAGATGCTGTGCCGGATGCACTGCGCGATGGCCGTGAGCGTGGCCGGCGTTGTCTTCGCCTGTCGTCGTCGCTTCGATAAGCATGTCCTCGAGGCTGCTTGCTGATGCGCGCGAACGTGAGCGGCTTCGCGAGGAGCGTCCGCGGGAGGTGGAGCGCGCGTGACGGCGCGAACGGGGCTGATCGGGATAAGCGTAGCGAGGATCATCCCGATCAGCTCGGGGGGGATGGGGATATTGGCTGTAGTGCGGATGGAGGGCGGAGGGAGCAGAGTGTATGGTGAGCTGAGGTGAATGGTCGGCCATGCTGCCGTTGAGGTAGGCGGGATGGGGAGAATTTGAGGGCTTGTGATTTGATCGTCAGCGTGAAGCGGTGAGACCGACGGAGAAGCCGGACTTACAGAGAGGCTGTATCGTCTGCCGCGGCTACCGTCATCGTCGCGATCGCTACGGAGACGCTTCGCGGGAGGGGGAGCACCTGGCCCAGCGAGGACACCACCGTAGCCTGTATCCATGCTGCCTGCGCGCGGACGGACGCGACTGGAGGTCGCGCTGGGCGGTGGGGGAAGGGGGATGGATGGGAACGGCGGAGGGGCGTTCAGCCTCTGGGAGGAGGTACGGGGAACATGAGAGCGGGATGAGGGGATCTGGGGAAGGTGTATAGCCCCTTGGACGACGTTGGGGACGTAGACAGTGTTTTGGGACGATGAAGGGATGGCGTTCACTTGGACAAGCGGACCACCCCCGTCGGCAATGAGTCGAGAGAATTGTGCGCGGGTGTCTAGAGCGCGGAGCTCGAGGGTGGCGAAGTAGCGGTCGAGTTCTTGCCAGGACTCCTGGAGCATCTGCAGTCGGGCGAGGGCTTCATCACGGGCTTGCTCGGCGCGCTCTACGCGAGCCTCGCAGTCGATGAGGGCCTTGCGGGCAGCGGGGGGCCAATTCTCTTTGGAAGAAGCGCCGTGGGAGGAGCCGGGGGGCGAGCCGTTGGTGGGGGATTGGACGGACTGGAATGTGGCGAGGAGGCGTTCGGACTTGTCTGCGCGTCGCCTGAGGGTGGAGAGCTCGGCCTTGAGAGACTCTGTCTCCTGGAGGGCCTTCGCGAGAAGAGTGGCGAGCTGGGCGGGGGAGCCTGAGGAGGACGCGGGGGGAGAGCTGTTAGTGTGGGTCGCAGGCTCGGGGACGGTCGCGGGTGGGGGAGGCTGTGGGGACGCGGACATGGGAGGGGTGGGACGTCGGGCGTGAGATGGGGCGTCGTGGACGGGGTGGTGGGGGATGGGGGCAGCCAGGATGGCGCGGGGGGTCGGCAGTATGGCTGCAGGCGGGGAGGGGAGATGTGGAGGGCGGGGGGCGGGGCGGGGCCATATTTGAGGGCAGCAGTCAAGGTTGATATCGCCTCGACTATTTGCGCCACGCTCCCCATCATCCTCCCTTTTCTGGCCGGTCTCTCTCTTTCCCACCCTCCCTCCCCGCGCGCCCCTGGACCCCGTGCACCGTACCCGCCCTCGCCGCCTGCCTCGCCTCGCCTGCTGCCCTGGACACCGTCGCCGTCGCTGTCGCCTCAGCTCGTCCAGTGGCGGTCGAATTCGTCCATCGCGGGCCACACCATCGCTCGCCGCGCTGCCGCAACAGCCCTCGCGGTGGTGCCCGCGTGCCCGCAGTGGGCACTCGCCCTCGCAGCTCGGGAGCCCCGCACCGCCCCGCCTGAGGGAGGAGCGCTTCCGGACACGAGGTTACGGCAAGGATCCTCTTTCTCAGCGGAGAAGTCGAAGCCAGCGCGCGAAGGGAGGACTCGCGCGCGAAGGGAGGACTCCTCCCAGAGCGCGCGCATCGAGAGCCCATCCGGGGCCACGTCCTGCTACGCTTTCTCTCACTCGCCCTATCTCGAGTCCTCCACCCGCTCCCCGACCGTTTGCGGCCATGGAATTCGACACAAAGTCTGATCCATGCGGACCCGGGCTCCCTCCTCTTCGCCCGCTTCCGCTTCCTGCCCATATGTGCCCACCTCCTCGTCCACACCGCCCACACACTCCGACCAGGCCGGCCCTTTCCCTCCGCGGCCGCCCTTGACTGTTGCGCACCCACCGAACGCCCTCCGGCCAGTCCAGATCTCCTCCTCTGCAACCTCTACGAACGTCACCTCTCAGGAAATCAGGCGTCCGAACGCAGCTAGCTCTTCTCGACCTACCATTAGCGCTCACTGTGCTAACCACCTGCCGCCCCTCGTCCACATCGCGCGCGTCATCCGTTGTCTGAGCTTGGATATCGTCCTTCTGCCTCGTGTTCGCCTCCTGCCCCAGATCTTCTCTCTTCTCCGGGCCCGCAAGCCCTCCGCACCCCTCTCACATGCGTTCGGCATGTCGCCTTTGCTCTCATCCTCCTCCGTACTTCACGCCCTCTACACTCTCAATATGCCCATCCTCGGTACTGTCTTCTCCCAGCTCGTTCCCCGATCCACCAACGCCTGCCCGCGCTCTTCCTAAAGACGCCAGCCACGCCAGTCTCCCAGTCTCTTCCGCCGTCCAATGTCCCGCCATCCTCCTCGATATGGCAGCGCTTTCACCACCCGTCAGGTACTATCCCCCTTCTGACCACCCTCCTCCGAGGGCCCTTCTCACGTCCACCTCCTCTTGTGTGGGCCCGCCTTAGTCAACCGCTTCTCAGATGACCTATAATGAGCCACTCCGCCCGGCGCGCCCCTGCTCCCCAGACGACTGCGTCTGCCCGCAGCCGGCCTGTCGTGCGCTCGTGCTGGGATCGATAGCGCATGGGAGTCCACGCACTCGCCCCTCGTCCTCCTCACGCGTCCGACGGCACGAGTGCGGCGTTGCGCGGCCGTTTGTCGGCCTTTCCCACACGACACGCCCCCGGAGCCAGCCCTGAGGGCCTTCTCTGTCGAGCCCCGAGGGGCGTGCAGGCTGCTTGGCAGCTGCGAGCGCTGCGGCCGCCATGTTCCCTGCCAATGCAAGTCGATCGCAGGCTGACCCGTGTTGCAGTCTGCGGAAGCCTGCTCGCGTGGGTGGCCCAGGTGAGTGTTTTGGGCGGGCAGATGCCTGCGTCTCTTTCCTCACCTCGTTGGGCCAGCAGCTGCTCACCTGCAGCGCACAAGTCGCGCAATGATCAGTGCACGCTCGATATGGACATTCGCAAATTCCGGATGACGGCGCGGGCCGCCCGCCGCGGAAGCAGATCTCGCGTGTACCCGTGCGCGTGCGCCACGTTCGGAGCCGGAAAGGGCAAGAGCGCGACTGGGGGGCTGGTCGGGGTCCCAGAGCGGGACTGGATGGCGATTTTGGGCTGATGTGCGCTCGCCGTCCGGGGCGATGACACATGCCGCGTCGGCGTCCCCGCCAAAACGGTTCTCCCCCGCCCGTCGTCCCACGCCCGGCCTACACGTGTCTTCTAGTAGAACGTCGATGGCGCCCGCGCGCCCGGCCAGACACCACCGCCGTCGCGGGCACCCAGGCGGGCTCCATCCTCCAGCCACCTTGTGCATCATCGCCGCCCGCGCCCGCATTCGCGCAGCAGACTCTCTGGAGAGGAGGCTTCGGCGGACACCGGCGGGTGGACGCGCTGATCGGCGGTGTGTTCCCCGCGAGCTGTCTGTGCTGTCCAGATCTCGCTCCTTGGACATCGGCCGGCCTGATGACGCCGGCGGGGCGCCGCGCTACTCATGGGACGAGCTTGTGGCGAACGCCGCCCTGATCGCGCTGCGCGGCAGTCGGCGTCTCCCCTGTCCGGAGCCGCCGACGTCGCGCAGAATGCTCAGATGTGGCACCACTGGCGACGCGCCCGCCCACCGTCACCGCGCCTCCGCTCGCCGCGGCGTTCGCACTCTCGAGAAATCGATCATGGTCTTGTTCCGGTATCCCCCCACTGTAGCGATGCAACGCAACGAACGCTCACGGCGATGACCTCGATCGCGCAACTTCGCGGGCAAGGAGTTCTTGATTTTGTGTTCGCGCGTGTGTTGCGACGAGACGAGGGCGCGCAGCCTAGAACCCCCTCCAACGTGCAACGCGAACGACGAATGCTGATGATGTCAGTGGATGCGGATGGTGCAACTTGCATATGCGCGCCATCCGGGCTCGGGCTCGCGCATCCTATCGCATCAACGCCCACTGCGCCGGTCCCTGTCGCACGACTCTCTCCCGCTCTCAGGCTGCTTCCGACGCGGGCCTGGGGCTCGCTCGCTCGCCCGTGTGAGATCTGGCGATTCTGACGATGCGCAGGCGAGACGTAAGTACGGCGGGAGGCGCCGGACTTGTCCCCATTTCGGAGGTGGCATGTGGACGCTGTCCCGCCCATCAGCAACGCGGCGTGAACGAGGCACCGCAGCATATGCCCGCCCAGCGTGCTTCGGCACCTTGCCGCGGCTTCCCGCCATCGCCCCGAGGCCGCGGGCTGTTCAGGGTGAGAGACCCATATCCGCAACGTCGCGCTTGGATACTGACTGTGGGCATATCGCGACCACGTATCAGCGAACAATTGTCACTTGCATCCTCGGACGTCGAACCCCCGCCCGTCACCAGCACTGTCACGATGCGTGCAGCGCAGTCGCCGACCCGCCTCGCCTCGATTTGTGCGAATGGGCAGCCTTCCGCAGGTCTTCCTCGCCGTGCATCTCGATCTCTGCAAACGGGGCTCTCGATCGACAACGTGGTATCCGGCTCGCGTTTGTGCGGGAGCGCGTGCCTCGAGGTGACGTGAGTGCGCCATATACATAGCGGCCAGACCCTGTTAGCGAACTCGGAGCGAGTCGCACGAGGATGTGCGCCTCCATCTGGTTCTTGGAAGCCTTCGCGCGTGTCGCGCGCCGCGCTCCCAGGAACGCTTGGTCAATCCCAACTCAAAACCTGCTACCCATTCGGTCAGAACAGAGCGATGGAAGTGCCAATCCCAGCCCATCCGCTGCGCCCCACGCACCCTGCGCGCCCGCGACGCCCAGCACTAGTTTCGCAGGCGGTGCCCAGCCGCGAGCCACAGGGAGATTAGATGGATTAGGATCAGGAATGGCGGGAGTCCGGAGCTCGGCGTACGTATCGTCTGCTCCTCGGGCTCGCGGAGGTGCCTGTGCTGTAATGCGCCAGGTTCGGACTCCCGGCGTCGTCTTGTGACTTACTTGCGAGCGTGTCGGTGTCCGAGCATGGCAGAGTCGCATGCCCACGTCAAGGGACATCGCCCCGCTCTTGCTCGGGATCAAGGCGAGGAAATCGTACTAGGCACCATGGCGCGATGGTCTGCCCCTCGGCGATTGCAACCCGCGCTGGTCCGAGTCCATGAGCGCGGCGTCGGACATGAGCCGCCGCTTCTCAGCCCGCTGTCACGGCGGAGACGCAGTTCGAGTCCGCCGCGCTTCCACTTCGAGGGGTTCGGCGACCTATCTGATTCGGTCGCGACGTTTCTATGCAGCGCGCGCGTGGTCTGGCGCGGGATAGCGCTGGATTCGCGATGGTCGACGCGGAGGCGGGGTCAGCGCAAGCAGAATTTCCAGATGCGAGGTCGGCGCGGCGTGGGCGGAAGTCCAAGGGTACTCAGTATCAATCAGGTGCCTTGGCGTCCCTCCGCTCGCGGGCGTCGGAGCGAGGCTTGGCAACAGCCACCCCGACGTTGCTCTCACCGTCTCTCAACAGAGTGTTTGGCCATCCTCCCTGTGCATCCAGCTGCCTTCGGCACTGGGGGCGCCGACGCCATTTATATGGATGGTGACTGCATAGACGCTCTCGTTTCAGCTTGCGCTCGTGACATCGCCGACAGAAGGCGGCCACACATATCGATTGGCATGCATCGCGGGTAGCCTCGGTTGGCTACTATTGAATCGCTAATAGCAACTTATCAACGGGTCTTCGGGTTGCCGGCTACCCACGCACCTGATCACCCTGGTCTGCAGACACGGTGCCTAGCATCGAGATGGACAGACATCTCACATCCCCCCGGTACCAGAGTACCAGTCCCGCCCTCTCGTCATGCAAGTATGAATCCGACGGCTCAGGAAGCTGAATGATTCACGCTGCGTCCGCGCCCCGTCCGCGCCTGTGCATGGTCGGACGGACATAGACAAGGTGCACACGCCCCCCGAATTCCCCGCCAGCCGCTCACACTTGAATACGTATTGGATCTCCCATATCTGGATCGCGGCAATTCACAGCGCCTTATGCTGTGTCGTGAGCCCGCCATGGGTGGCCGTAGATCGGCATTTGCGAATCTGATCGCACTCCGTGGTTCTGCGGTCTCGCGCTCATACCCCTGCCACCTGCCACCTGCCACCTGCCGCCTCCCTGCCGTCTCGCGCAATGCGCATCAGGCCGTCCTCGAGCTTCCTAAAACCACCGACGCGCTCGCACGCGCGGCCCGCTCTGGAACCTCAGGACGCGCGCGGGAGCACAAGACCCAAGGACAAGGTTCGGTTCGGGCGACCACTGGCATTCTGCTCGGTCAGTTGGTCGTGCAACACGCGGAGGGGGCGTGCCCGACTGCCTCGAGTCCGCGTCGTGCCGCTGACGTTCGCCTTCAGGCCCGCTGGATCCCTCTTTCTCTCGACGCCCAAGCTCTATCTGGCCGCTAGTTCTCCGACAGACGGGCCTCTCAACGCGCGCACGTTTCTGGATGGTCCATGTCCAACTAGGCGAAGTCGGATGTCGTCGCCGGCCTTCGAGGCACGAGGCAGAAGATCCAGCGCGCCCTCCATCGTACTGGCTCGTGCGGCCTTGTGCGGTCAACGCAGAGGGAGTCTTCGGTGGGCTTGAGAGCGCACGACACCGTTGATCGTGCGATGTGCCTTCTAACATCAACGATGACAGAGTGATATTTCATGCACCGCTCGCTGATCTCGTTGCCTTGTCTCTGAGGACCTTGCGTCTGGCGGCTGTACTCACTCTCGTGCTCACCTTCTGGCTGAATTCCTGGTCTGCGGCGACTCCGACAAAGGTTGATGATCTTCTCGGGCGACTGGCAGTGCCGCTGCTTGGTCATCGAGGTCTTGACGACCGATCCGCTCAATGTCTTTGCGTCGCACACGCAGCCGTCTACGGATAGCTCGAGTCCGTCGCAGCAGTCGTATACCGTGGCTATTTCCTACCGATTGACCATGTCGGTGGATCCTTTCGAAAGCTGTGCTACTAGAGCTGTGACTGCAGTCGTGCGACGCTCGACTTGACGCCTTTCTTACGTTGCTCCATTGCAGTCTCGACTCGATCCTAGAGACGCAGTCGACGGCCGCGCACGAAATGCATCGGACATATGCTGCGCTAAAGCAGAGATCTGTGGTCCAACAGCGCGTGCCAGTGCCCTTCGTCCGGATCTCACCGACTCGGACTACGGGCTGATTTGGAGGCGGGGTCGTGGACTATATCGTGCCGATACGCCCATATGCCGACAGTTATCATACGTCCGATCGCTATGAGGGCTCTCGATGCCGCTATCCAAGGAAGTGGGCGATCAACTCTACCTGGTGAATCAGTCCATTGTACTCTGGCTGTCCGTATTGGAGTTACCTGACACGGGAATTCGACTCTGTTTGGTTCAAACCACGTCCTCGGCTATCTCGCGCAGCCTCGAAGGGCCAGCGAGACTGACTGCCTACCGTGTTTAGTGGCTAACTCAGTGAGTAGCCTGGTCTTCCAATCTTTCCTCAGATGTTAACTTCCGGAGATGGCCGCGAGATACCGCATGTGGGTAAGTATACGGGACGCAAGGCGACCTCGGACACAAGGGATTGAACCTCCTACACGGGAGTTCAGACCCCCCAGGCCGCCGCAACATATGATATCTCGATGTCCTAACCCATATCGCCCATTCTTCCAGGCTCTCACCATTGCCACAAGCGCGTCATAACCCAAGGACTCGGTTTCGTCTTGGTGGTGATACAGATGAAGTCGGGCTGTGGTCATGCATCCGCCTCGATGGCAAGGAAGCCCAATACGCGCAACGCGTCAGCGACTCCTAAGACCTTAGGAACCTCGGAGGCTTCTAGCTTCCTCGCTTCACTCTAGGGCGGGGACCCGGCTCAACGTGGTGGACGCGTTGTGGCGAGCGGGCGACGAGAGCCTGGCCGCGCATGCGTTGCGGGCTGGCTAGCGCATCACGCGACTCGCCCTATACTCCGCATCCGTACTCGAGGCACGGAATGGAGCGCGGAATCCCGCCTTTCCGTCTTAAATGTGCAACTGCGGTGGATCGACTCACTTGAATTATATGATATTTGTGGTGGGGAGTCCGTGATATTCGACGCTCAATGGGTGTTGTCTTGCTGTTGATTGCGTCGTGCTCTGTCAGTGGACATCGTACCTAAGTTCTGATGGACATGGACACGCCACATCGCGGGCGCGATGTCCTCGTGGCTCGTACATGGTATGCTTCGTGTGCAGAGTGGGAGTTGCGGAAACCGGTAATTTCATCGTAAGATGCAGACACAGGATCTATAGTCATCGTCTTCAAGCCTCGGAGCGCCGTCGCTACATCTCGCAGGGCAGTAGTAGTCAGCGTCTGCGGCCCTGTGGCCGTCAGCCGGTCAATCTCAGCATTGCGTACGTGAGGTGCGCAGTTTCGCCATTGGAGGCAGCGCCATCTCGCCGTGTGCTGCAGAACGGTATGTGAAGTCCACGTCGGGGCTTCGGATGAAGTGTGTTCTCTAGCCTCTGCTCGCGTGCCACTCTAGCGTCACGCCTGATCAGTCACTATGTGGGAGAGTGAGAGAAAAGGTTCTGAACCCAAGGCCGCTGCAGCCCCTCTCCTTTGTTGTCTACCCGCGTACGCGCTGTCGTTTACGCAACCTGACCTCTCCGATTCCATGGAGCGTTCTCAACATCCTCGTGAGCGATATCAGGCCACCTTCATTGAGGTCGTACCTATTGACTGTGCCGTGCAGTGTCAATGCTCGCGTCCTTGTAGATCTAGACATCAACAGCGAGCCAACTCTGGCCGTGCTACATACCAGGTGTCGTCATACGGATACAGTTTCATCAGGTCAAGTATAGTGACGTTCAGCGAAGCCGGATTCTCCTCTCAACGATTGAGTACGTATGGCGAAATGTATGGTTGTCTGATAAGTGGTATGGGGCAGTGCAAGAAGTTCGACCTGGTTCGTACCTATGAGGCGTTTTGAGCAGTCAAGAGTCTGCCTTGAGGCGCGCGACCGCGGTTAGTCCGCCAGAGTGTGCGGCATCCATTATCCTAGTACGATCGCTGGTCTAGTGGTTGACTGCTGGCTTGTATCTGTCATGCGGCGCCAGGCCTTTGCTAGTGTGGTACTACAATATTAACCGCGAGCTTCGATTGAACAATCGTGAGGGGGATTCCGGGCTGGTCATCTGTTCAACGCTCAGAGCAAAGGCCAGTCCCGCGGAAGCAGATAATCAATCGATCGTTGAACGGGTCGGAGGCTCGCCTCGCCCAGGAGCGCCAACTGTGCGAGCTGTGACGATGCGCGCAGAGTAGGCGTGGCCAAATGACGCTAGGCTGTCACACTACGCGCCTTGTCACTAAGTAGAGTTTCTTTGTATCGCCTGATATGGGCGTCCCATTCTGCGGACCTATGGAAGGTGGAAGTCAGATATCAGATTCGGTGCGGACGGGGATAGCGTGCCCCTCGTGTTCAGAAATTTTCTGTGCTGGGAGTCATCCGCCGCGGGGCTCGCGATGCTACTGCGATAGGGGGGCAAGCTGCAGCATGACGAGGTAGCGGCCTCGGATGACCCGCTTCGCGCCTGCGGAGGTCTGGGGTGAACTACGCAGATCGAGTGTCCCCTTTGCCCTACCTGAGCATACCCTCTAACCTGAGCCGTCGTCTCCGTTGTACTTAGACATAAATTGCTCTGAATTTTCAGGACTTCCTAGCCGCTATTTTCTGCGTCCTCTGGGCCTCCGGCTTCTGGCCGCTAACTGGAGCTGTAGCACCGAACACCAGCACGGGATGTCTACAGAGCCGTATCACGTCTATGCCACGATCACCTACCTGTTTTGCATGTCTACACGACGGCGGCGCGTTCAAAGACTCGTTTTGAAAATATTCGGCCGGAACTTCCAGTGCGCGATGGCTAGCGGCGGCGAAGCCCGAGAGCGCACGGCGGGTGCGGTCAGGGAAAGTTCGACGCCGACTCGGTGGTGATTAACACAAACCCGAGCATTATATTCTGCAAGATACGTTGAAGTAACGTCGCCATGTCAAAGCGCCACGCCGATCAAAAAATACATCCATGGATAAACTCGAGCTGATCGCTGATACACCCTGGTCGTTGGTTCACGTCGATGGACCATGGTAAGCTGTGTGTGTACCAGATAGGGAGAGTGCGAGGAGGAGGGAAGCGGAATACGAGAAGCTATCGTCGGTCGGTCAGACCGCCTGCAGAGTGTAAGGTTTTGGCTTCGGTAGAGCGATGAATGCACTCACTTTGGTAAAGGAAATACGAAGCTATTCTGTGAACTGCTCGAAGAAGTTGCTTCGCCGTTCATAATTGATCATCCCACGTAGATGGCGGGCGACACCACATGGACGGCGGCTTGATGAAGGTTTGTTCCGACTTCTTCGACTCCTTCATCCGTCATCCTTCCAGAGCGGCCTTTGCCCGCTTCCAAGGCAGAGTCAGGGAAGTGTCGACGGCTTTGATATTACGACTGGTGTTGGGGTGCGTGATAGACCTGGACTGAATACCGGATTCGAATGACCGTCTTGTAGACAGGGCGAGGCGGTTCAATATCGCGTCGCTCTTTTGACACGTGCGGCCTGACGCAATCCAACGCAGCGTGTTCGCCGGCAGTGGCCGCGTCTTCAGTGCGTGTATGCCATGACCTATACGGACCCCTTCAAATATAGACAAGGAGTACCCAAGGTCTCATGAAAGTAATATCGCGTGATGCAGGACGAGATTGTCAACAGTCACGGATGTGGTTACGCCAGAGTCCGGCGAAGGAACAATCGAGCCTTCCGTAGTAACCGTGCAGAGATGCAGAACCTGGGGTGAGCATATTCGGCACATGGATCTGCACCGATTAGAAGCGCATCAGATATTTCTGTCAAAGTCGTGGCCTACTACATCTTGAGGTGACCCTCATACACTGCATGTAGTCCGGGCTGATTGGAGTCGGGGGCCGGAGCTTGAAGCTTTCACAACCCCTGATGTGATTGTATCTATGTATAAGGACTTGTAGGACCGATGAACTGACATACAACGTGAACGATGGGGCTTGGCTTCCTTACTTCCAGCGGGCTTCATTTCTGTCTTTGCCTTCTTGCCGCCGGTATCACCAATTTCCTAGTGCAGATACTCACATTGAACGACGCGGTGGACCCCTCAGCACGGTTGTTTGATCAGGCATTGCTGCTGATCAACCATAACAAAGTCGGTTCTCGAGATGGTATCACTCCTTACCGCGACCAAAACATGGAGATGGACGGCGTCCTCTCATCAGAGATACGAGTGAAGCGTGCGCTATCTCTTGCCTTCTTTAACCACCGTTAGCATTGGGAAACATGAGATGCTTCGTCTATTCGTGGGGAGGATGACTCCATTGGGGATATCGTCGTTGAGTAACGGTTGCGACAGCATTGGGATCCGAAAGCCGCGAGGGGATGAGTGTTGCCTTTCTGTGCACCTCGAGGTATCTGCCGAGCATTTTGGAAGAGTAGAACAGAGCAGCAGGAGCTGAGGACGCAGGCCGAGGTTAAGAAACATGGTGGAAACGCCAACGTCTACGAAGAGGGAGAGGTTTCCCGAAATGGAAGTATGGGGGAAGTGGCGGAACATGACTCCCCCAGTCGAGCGCCGGGGGCCGCAGTGGACGCATCCTCGTCCTCCTCCCACTCCATCTGCGACCACTGCTCTGAACCCGTCTCAGCATCATCATATCTATTGAATACGCCTCGCACTAGCTTGCACGGCCTCTCGCTTTCTCCTGCTTCTCGCTGTACTCCTTTCTACCTATCGATACCGCACTTGTTTAATGCCCCCACGGAGCAAGCGCAATGCAACCTCCCGTCGTCATCATCCCAGCTTGCAGATTCAGTCGTCTCCTCTTGGTACCCCTCTTCCTCCAGATCTACTCACGTTTGGACACGAGGCACCGCCCCAGACGACTTATCGCTCAGTGACTCCCGCCGTCTTTGAGCTAGAGCCACCGCCGTCCGATCCCGAGCTTGGTCGCGCGTCCACCGCTATCTGGGACGGACGAGACCAAGACGACCTACGTGCGGAATCCGTTGACTATGCCCACATCATGTACGGTCCTGGGACCAGCGAGTCCGACATTGATGACGGCGGCCCGGCATCTCCTTCTACGTCCCCTCCTGGACCGTCGTCACTAGGCAACAACTTCGTCATGGAGGATGAGCCAACCGCTGGACTCTCCGCTCTCAGCAAGCTGGCTAATGCAGCGGAAGATACGACCTCAGACGACTCGTCATTAAGCAGGAGTGTGGGGCATATCAGATCTCCGGTACTTGCACGGTAAGTCCTCTCATCGTGCTGGCACGCTGCCCTCGATTTTTGCAATCCCGCTGCTATATGTTTCCATGAATGAAACGGGCCGCGTGGAGAATTCGGGAGTAGCAACTTTCGACCTTATATTGGAAACGCGGGCACATCTTGGAGATACTATGGCAGATCGGTCTATACCTCGAGTGTGAGGCGGAGGTCGAGTGGTGCACTCAGACATGACGGCGTCATGCGGGAGGATCTTGGAAGAATGGCACGCAGTTGTCAGCATATACCTCGCGTTCCACTCCTTCGCACTTGTCGTTCCTCCATGCACCGTAAATGGCTTTCTGAAAGAGGCAATGTAGAAGCCGTTGCACTATTCTGGACATGTGTCGTGTTACATGACAGCGGTCCAGATTCCTTTGTCTCCTCTACGGGAGCTGTCTCATTGGTCGCGACCACCCTTGGCCTCACGATCATCAAGTCGTGTCTTCTCGTTCACAGCCCCGTTTCTGTGGAGGCGCGGCTGGGACTGTCATTGAAGATAAGCAGCTACCATAGTTAACACCCTCCTTACTCACGAGGCGTGGTGGAATTCCGGATTGTGTTGTTCGTCTTCCTGCACTGCGAGATTCCCAACCTGGGTCTATCACACAGTTCGCTGCGTACGAGCACCGGCATGAGATTCACAAGGTTACAACGTGGTGAATGAAACAAGGGTGGAACCGCGAATAACCTGCAAACTCTAAAACTCGGGGCTAGCGCCTAGCATGGCTCCAGACTCCCTTGACTCCTTGCCTTCTACCTACCATTCGTCGCTCGGATCTGACCATGACATTGACTGCAGTCGCTCACACCATCCTGACGATAGGGAACCGACTCCTCTAGAGACGTTTTCTAGGACGATCCGGAACTACGTACCATCCTCGATCCCCATTCCCTCTGCCGCGCCGTCCCCACCACGCGTCTCGCGCCCAGTGTCATTCGGTAGCTTCCTCAGTCCTTCGACCCACGCTGCTTCGCCTTCCGCGACCCGCGAGCGCCAGCGAGATCACGATTGGAAGCGTCGCGGCAGCGATGCTTCCTCTGCCGCAGACCTGCGTAGACAATGGCCCGGCCAACGTAGATCCGAACCCGGAGGAGAGATGCCCGTATTCAGTCTGGACGACGACATTTCCGAAGACGGCCCGCGCGAGGATGGCAGACAGGTCACACGCTATCCTGGCGTCGGCGATACGGAGGAAGTGCTCTGGGCGGGGTGGGACACGCTCGCGGATGTCTCGGATGAGGGCAGTGAGCAAGCGAGGACGAGGTACGCACGCATGTTTCGTTGTGTTCCTCATCCGAAGTCGCACCGCTCAGCATGCGATTGCTCGCGCGCGAGACCGAGGAAACATCCGTTCTGTGACCAATGCAGACTGATTGCATCAATTTCGTCCATGTGTATTCCCAGGTCCGTTCTCATGCTCGGCTACCCGAGTGGGTTGCAACTGTGGGATTGCTCGAACCTGGGATCGGTTTCCGAGCTTCTCAACCTGACGGGTGCGCAATGGGGCGCTGTGGAATTTGCGGGGGTCCTGCCAGACCCCCCGCAGGTGGAGGAGGAATTTCGCCCAAAGAGGCCGCTGATTGGTTTCTCGTGAGTTATCATTGCTCCGGCAGTGTCGATGGCGCTGAATCGGCTGACCATGATGTATCTAGGTCTCGTACTCCCCAAGGAACAGATTTCCTTGTATATTCTTTACGAACGCACGAAGTCGTCAAGAGACTATCACTAATTGGATTCACGTCGTTTGCTGCATCTAGTCAATTTATCATCCTCGTGTGTACCGTACTTGCTGTCTCATGTTCACGTTCCGTGCTAACTAGCCTCCACAGTGTACATCAAACCCACCAAGTCTTCACATTATCTCCAGCTGTACATTTGCGTCATTGTACATTATCCCTTCAGCATCACTTGTTCCTTTCACGTTCCCGCCAGCACAATCGACATCATCACCAACGAAGCCAACATTCAATGATGTACCCTCTCTAGATTTAGACCAACACTACCCATCTTTACGTGCCTCACCGCTGCCACGACCGATATACGCCCTTTCTAATCGCCTCCTGGCATACGTCTCTCCGCCTTCCCGTCAAGATGCCGCACCCGCGGCCACCCCGGGTCAGGCGCATACTAGTGTTCCTATCACGGCCTCCGAGGCCCCGCTCAAGTTTGGCTTAGGTATGTCTCAGGCAGACCTTGGGAATGCCGCCGTCAAGATCGGTGGTAGCGTCCTTAGCGGGATGAAGACCCTCGGCGGCATCGCGTTTTCCGCTGCGCGTGCCGGCGTCAGCGCTGCAGTCTCGGGTGAGCAGACCTCTATCCACTCGCGGAACATATCCGCCTCGGGAGGGTCAGCCACAAACGCTCTGGGCATGTTCTTCTCGAAGAGTGCTCCAGCCGCCACTGCCTCGCCGCATGAGTACCAGACGGCCGCGGATCGTCGACGGCGTAGCCTCCGCGTGTCCTCGCCCATCGAGGGTAGTTTTGATCCGCAGGCGACTGTCACCCCTCGCTCATTCCCTCCGCCAACTTCCCCGACCGCGCCTACGTCGGGGTGCAACGTCATCGTGGTCGACCTCTACCCGTTACAAGTGTCGTCTTCAGCTCAGCCTGAGCCGGTCGCCCAATTTACGTTCGCGCGGCCGCAGGCTCTCAGCGGCCTCAAGTTCTCTCCGGAAGGCACCAGCTTGGCGCTCTGTTCGAAGGACGGACATGCCGTTCGAACCTTTCGACTACGTCCGACACCTCGCCTTTCGCGGCGGCCACCACCGGATGCCCCTTCGCAGGACTCTCGGTCGAGGAGTGGCAAGGAGCACGCAACAGCGCCCAAGGTCCGCCAAACGTCGTCATCAATGACCCCAGAGCATCTATTGGAGTCGATGCAGCATGTTTACACACTCCGACGAGGACGCACGTCCGCTGTCGTCGAGTCCTTGGAGTGGGCGCATGACAAGATGTGGTTCGGGATGAGTTCACGCAAGCGGACCATCCATGTCTTTGCGACGAACCCGCTTGGTGGCAAGCCGGACGGAAGCAGCCATCTTATAGGTAGGGTTGTCAACAGCCGAGAGCTGGTGAGTACTTTTCCACTGGCTGCGATGTCTAAGTTTCTAACAGTAGTACAGAACACCTCGTCGACTGAACTGTCGCCACTCGTGCGCGTGAGGCTCAAGTCGCAGCCTTCAGAGTCGGCTAGTATTCCTTGCACGTTTACGTTCTTACGATCCTCCGAGGCGATCCTTCCTCTGTCGCTTCTCCCACCAGCAACGGTGCACTTTTCTGCGTCATCATCCCCTTCGTCCGTGTCCAGCGGGCTCTCAAGGCATCCTGTCTCTCCGGCACAGCGCCCAACTCGCCCTACTAACTACAAGGACCTGCTCGTATTTGACCCAAATGATGGTACACTTGCTCTACATCGTATCTTCGTAGAGCGTGCAGCGGTGGACCAGGCCGTCGTTCCTGGTTCCATTCCGGTTGTCGGGGGCACCAGCATTTCGCTTCCCGGCATGAGTACCTTCGCTCGTCACATGGGCTCTTCGCCTCCGGCTGGCTTGAGCACGAGCCCCCGCACTACATCAGGCTCAGGCTTGGCCCAGATGATGGATAAACCCACTGGGCTCGTAGGTCGGGAGAATCTAGTCAGCACCTGGTCCCTCGCACGGGGTCGGTCATGGCCTGAGGTCAAGCAGAGCCTAAGGCAAGTGCGACCCGGCGCCGGACGATTCGGTAGTACTGCTAAATCTGAGTACGTGTTACCGCCCCTGAATCCATCTGCTAGCACTAATACCGCATACAGCTGGTTATCCCGCGCGGAATTATCGACATTCTCGCTATCGCCCAAGGTCTCACCTAGGCTTATCTATCTTTCGCATCAATTCTCATTCTACGCATTGGGCGAGGACTACCACGCCCTCATCCGGAGTTATCACTTTGACATACCTTCTAGCAAAATCGAAGTGCGGAAACCAATTGAGGTCAACGCGTTCGCTTCTGAGGAGACTGAGGCGTTCGTACAAGACCTCTCTCCTCACCACGACATCAGCATGGGCCGCGTACCCTCATCGTTCGACGGGCCGCTAGCGTCTGCGCTCTCTGCACAACTGCACCCACCCAACCCCTCCCCACCGGTTCTCCCCATGCTCCCTAACGGCACATCCGGTTCTGGAGCCAAGTCGCTCATCAATGCGATCCCCATCCGACAGGTAGCGGTAGGCATTCAAGATGGAATGACTGAAGGTATTGGTCGGATTCGTCGTGAATTTGGCAAGGCGCGCTCTCCGCGGCTGGCCGCGCGTCCTGACGCTGCTCTGTCGTCCTCCGTTCCCCTCGAGTTTGACGAAGAGGACGAAGATTTCCTCGTCAAGGACGTTTTTGGACCTTCTCTGGAAGGCGAGACCGAGGCAGATGTCATCTCGCGCTCAGCGTCTGCATCCACTGGTGTCGGAGCCGTCGGTGGGGACTCGGCTGCTAGCATCTCCACACCATCGACCAACATCGATCCCTTGCCTATCGAAGAAGATGAAGGCCAACAGCCGTGGCAAGGCTGGGGGCCAGAAGACAAGCAGGCCATCGATGACGCTGAACGTTTCGACGACATCACAGTAGGGTTTTTGGATGAAGAGCACGAAACGATGCGCGAGCGGGAGACGGCAGTGAAGAAGGGCTTGGGAAAGAAACGACGAGGACGGAGGGCATGAGCCTGGTTAGCGCGTTATGTGCGCGGTGTTGTGCATGCGCTGGTTCAGCCACAACGCGACGCGTTGGCGTGTAGCCCTCGGTACGGATGCGGCACTTTTGTTTTGAATGCGGCCTCTGGCCGAGGACAGTTGTCTGTAGCTCCCCGGGACTTGCGTGGTTTGTAGGATATATGTTCAGAAGCGAGAAGGCAAGAAGAAATGAAGAATGCACTATAGTAACAGATCATGCATGCTCGAGAATCCGAGTTACATTGCGGCTGAGGTGGGCAACGTATCATATTGAACAGTCCTCGCAAATCCTTTATTCTTTTCCCGCGGTCGGATCACGATGAGGTATGTACATATTGTGCCTTCGTCTTCGACAAGATGTGAACTCACGATCCACTTTGCTATAACGTCTGGCCAGAGTCGAATTTGAGTCACTTGATGTCGGTTGTCGGCGCAGTGCCGACACGTCCCTAGGGAGCTTCTTCTACGTGTTCGTGCAATCAATCACTCGGTCATCGGTACTCCAATTGGGCGACGGTCAGATTGGCAAGGGAGTGAGTGTTCTGTCGTTCGGCGCTGCTAGAGCTCATTTCACCCCTGTGGGTCCTTGGAAGTTCAGCCGCGAAAGAACCGAGATGGGCGATTACTCTATGGCTTCCCCTGCAGGTAGAAATGCTTGCGCGACGTTTCTATTGCTCACAGAAGTCAGGAGGGATTCTAGAACGACTCCCACGCATCCATTCAAACCGCCCTCGCCTCTATCTCTGCCAAATGTCCCCACGCCTCCTCCACGGGGACGTTTCGTTTCGTCTCCCGAGACACCCAGAGCATAGGACATCGTATCAACGGATGCAGTCAATCAGGCGTGCGAAGACTCACATGATGCTGCGCTCTCGATTACAATTCCTGCATTTCAGCGACATTTATCCCCAATTAGCGAGTGTGTATCGCGCGGGACATAGTGACAGCACACCAATCGTATGACTTCGTGGGTATCGGCTCTCATATGATGTCCGAACGTTTCCATAAAGATTGAATTGATGCGTCCAGGTGTTAATGTGCTCGCTCATGAACTTTGAGGACGATCCCTGAATCGCACCCACGACGACAAGCGCGAAACTGAACCTTGGCATGGTTCGACTTACAGGGCTATTTAGTATCTACCTGTTCACCCAGGTCGGCCTCGCAACGAACCTCGTCCTGGCTCCGGACTGGGTGAGTCGAAGATTGGTCTTGTACACTCCATATCCTTACTACCTATCTGGGCAGCCCTTTGATATCACGACTCTTAGCGCGCCAGACGAGTCGATCACAGCGAAGTTTGTATCATTCGGCGCTACGCTTACGGAGCTCTGGGTCAAGGCCAGGGATGGGAAGGCGAGGGACATTGTTCTCGGATACGACAATAACGTCAGGTCAAATTTGTGATACCGAGCGGCATGAATGTGCTGACATTGACTTGTAGACGGAACTGTTGACTGACCCAGCGCATCCAGTATTCAATCCGATCGTTGGTCGGTAAGTCCAAATAGGAACCTACACCTCAGAGCTTTCCACTGATCCGTGTGAAGATACGCAAACCGCATCAAGAATGGTGAGTAGTCGACGTAGGGAGATCGGAATATACTCATCAGCGTTGTTCGCAGGAACGTTCTCCATCCCTATAACGAAGTATCCTCAGCCTGATGGACCGAACGTGTACCACATCCCGACCAACGACCATGATGGTAAGAGCACACAGGATGAGAATATGATGAAATCACGTGGCCAATATATGTCCAGGTCAAGATACGCTTCATGGCGGCATCTACGGCTGGGACAGACGGAACTGGACCATTGTCGAGCGGAACTCCACGAGCGTGACTTACTATCACCTCGACCGTGCAGACGAAGGCTTCCCCGGCTACGTCGAGGCACACGTTCGTATCGTCTCCCCTACTCTATCTGGCCACCAAGTCAAGTTGATCTCGCTCGCACCCTCCCTGGCAGGTGACGCACACAGTCGAGAACGGGGGAACGCTCAAGACATCTATTCACGCGAGTGCAACGGAGAAGACCCCTATCATGCTCACGCAACATATCTACTGGAACCTCGACGCGTTTCAGGGCAGTGACAACATCCTCAATCACAAGCTTCATGTCGACGCGTCGAAGGTCGTAGCAGTCGACGGTGATGCTATCCCTACCGGTGAATTCATCAACGTTGATGGCACACCATACGACTTCCGCGAGACGCAGGCAATTGGGGCGAGGTGGAACGATACAGTCGGCCTGTGTGGCGGCGGTGTGTCCCCTCGGCTGCACTGTGATTGAACATGAGTTGAGCAGACACAGGTTGTCAAGGATATGACAATTGCTGGATCTATGACAATGATGAAGAGCAGAACGCGGGCGTGTCCCTCTGGAGCGATCTCTCTGGTATCAGGTCAGTTTCATTGACCAGGGGCGAGTGCCTAACGCTTACATTCTTATCCCTCTATAGGCTTGACGTGACAACAAGTAACCCTGCCGTCCAGGTCTACACCGGCTATTGGCTCGACACGCCACGCAAACTTGTCCACGGAGGCCCAGATCTCAACTACACCAAGTGGTCTGCTGTCGCCATTGAGCAGGAGGGCTACATCGACGCAATCAATACTCCCGAATGGGGTGTCGACCAGATATGTAAGCTCAGTTTCTTTACGCACGCTAGTATGTTGTCTGCTAACCATCGGGTAGACTATCCCGGAAAGGACTACACTTGGGAATCGGTGTACCGGTTTTCCAGGCTTCCATGATAGTGGATTGCAGGAATGGAATTGTCGATGAACTCCGGCTGAACTCCGGCTGTAAATGAATGGATTGGTGGCCTTTGGGGATCTGTACATGGCATGGTGACTGCGTCGTCTCTTCGTAAATAAGTTGGACAATGAAGTCCCCGCGAGCTCATGTAAATGACAGACAGAGTAACAGAGAAGCTCTGGAGGAGAAACCGTCGCACGCGGGCACAAGGCTTGTAGGAGTATGCTCTCGATATATCGCGTGTCATGAACCGCCCGCCATGAGATGGTCTGGCACACGAAACCATTGATGACAATGAGACTCTCTCTCTCACGGTCACCATGGCTGCCGGGCTGAATGCGATACAGCTTAAAACGGAACAATGTGCCACGCTGATATGTCGTGGCTCCGCTGACAACGTTACTTGACCATTATGTACCAGGACGTAGCCATATATGCCTGAGAGGAAGGACGAAAAGGCGCAACCCTGCGTACAAGCTAGGCCGCGTAGATGCATACATTGTCATCGTTTGGTGGCGCCCCTTCCAGATTTTCCATGTCTTCGTCCTCCGTGTTCGTCATTAGTAACGTCTAAGAACCCGCCGAGCTCGAGCGCGTTACGCGCTGCTTGGTTGATATGCTTGAACCTATCCGGACCTAAATGAATGCCGCCAAAGTAGCGCGTTACGACTACGAGGACATCGTCGACCTCCTAGAGACGACGTCCCGATTGTGATAGTAAATGTCTAGTGGATAGACGTTTAGCGGCTGGTGCGTACCAAGATCTGTAGTAGGTGTGCCAGACGCCCGCCAGCTGCGGTCTCTCCGTCGTCATCGTTGTCTGGAAACCAAGGACTTCAGTGCGACAGTACGCGAACGAGGGGATACAGGGGACGTACCTTGGTGCAGAATACTGCCGACGCGACACCGCCATGCGTTGATGATAGGATGAGCCGCGCGGGCGATACGGCGGTCTGACATGAGGTGGGCGAGGATGATGGGGACCTGACAGAGTACCGTTTAGACGAATTGAACACGAACATAAATTGTGGACATACCTGCGCAGGATCGGTTATACGACACGCGCGGCCGACAAATGAACTCTTGCGGTCTTGGATAGGCTCCGCCTCAAAGATGTTGATGCCCGTGGGCATCTGCACGGGTGTGTCAACCACCGCCGCGTGGACCATTCCCCCATCGCCGGTCTTGTCCTCGCTCTCATGCCTCAATGCATCATGCCCACGCGCCCTCTCGTCCTCTCTCAGCAGCTGGCCTACCTTTCTTTCGCTGAAACGTTCACGAAGCCATTCCACACAACGCTCCTTCACCCACTCCAGCCCATCGAATACGCACTCCCCATCCGGTGCCCACTCGACCGCGCCCTGAGATATGTACGTCCGCAGTACAGTTCCAAAGAGCGGGGCATCGACGCCAAATGGGCCGATATATCGCGAGAGGAGCTGTAGTTGAGGAGGGGCAGAGGTCGGGTACTTTGGTGGGAGAGAGACGAGGATGTTGACGGGGTACGACTGCTCTGAACCGTCCACAGAGTCAATCCTGCATTCCCCACATTCATCAAGGGTGAGCGCACCCATCTCGCGAAGATGACAGAGATTGACTCACTCCAGGGTTACTTCGTATCGGATCGTCCCGGGATCTGGGTGTTGTCGGTCTATGTTTTGTACTCCTGGGCGATGGTCCGGCGACTTGCTACGTTCGCGCGACGGGGGTTTCCATAGTTGGACGGCTTCCTCCCCATATATGCTCTGAAGCACTAAGCAACGGGTTGTAGGGCATGCAGAGTTTCGATGGGAGGTAGGGCGCGTGGCGGGACAGATTAGACAGATGAGGACTCTGCGTGGACGGCAGCCATAGAGAGGAAGGGCGCGCACCGCCGAGCTCCAACGCGACGGCTTCGCGCGAGGGGTCGGGATCCGTCGAAAGTTGAGTGATGAGATCGTCCACAGTATCCGGGGTGAAGGCCATCGCCTGAGTATTTGAAACGTAGGGTCTGGCAGCAGACAGCGATGAATCGTATGATGTCGACTGTGCGTATGTAGAAGAAAAAGAGTAAACGATGTGCTCGTGACTAGCGAGTTCTGGGGAGGCAACGCGCACTGCCATCAGAAACGCGCAGCTACAGCTGATGTCAAAATATCGAGACCGTCCAGACTCCAGTCTGGCGAGTCTGGCGAACTCCCATAGATCACATGGCGCGAGAACATCGAGACCGTCCAGTCTACTTGGCTATGGTGCAGTTCACTTAAGGCCCTGGTCGGCTGCAGCCGATCTACAAATCGGCGCCCGCCAAAACAAAGATCGATCGGTTTGTAGCTCGTTCGGCGCTAGTTCTGCAAAACCAGATCAACGACGCCGGTCGGCAACTCGCCAACCCAGTCCGATTGCCAGTCATGACTTGGTTCAATGTTGTCATTGGCAGTGGTGCACGCGCAGATGTCCTCTCACTTGCCCCCCCTGCCTCCTCTCGAACCTCCTGTATGTGCTAAAGCTTGTGGATATAGGTTTACCCAGTCTAGACAGGAGCTATGATAACATGGGGGATCATGTATGTGGTGGCAGCTGCACCTGTAATGGTAGCAATGACTGCAACAGACCTCACATACCACTATATACCTGCACACTGGCATGTTAGGTTAGTCTGTTCACATTTCTGCTGCTTTTGCATTTTCCCCCTTCTCTCTCCTTCTGCTCCCCTTTCTTGGCAAGCAGAAGTTTAGATTATGGTCTGATCATTTGTGTGCTTTAGGTGTCGACATTCGGATTCGCTCAATGTCCATTCATCCACTACCTCTCCTGTCCTTATCCCCTTGTATGCAAGCTGTCTACCTCCAGAGTTTTACGACATCAACTTGGTAAGTGTCTGTTACGGCGAAGCATATCAGCACTCAAGGGGTCGTGTGCAGGTTATGCGCAATGAGAATGCAGACTGATGACAAGCTTAGCACACAAGGTTGACTGGGTGTCTGGAGGTTCAAGGTCACCAGGGGTCTAGGGAGTGAGAACACCTGATTGGTACAAGAGATCAAACTGGGGCGCCCAGTGCAGGACCTGTCCTTATATACTAAAGTACATGATCACTGACTAACCAGGTGTCACAGTTTTCCCGTGCCATGTGACCTGGGGGTCATGTGCACTAAGGCAGATGCGCACCTTAACCACAGACAGCTCGTATTGGAAACCGGAGCAGCCGGATTTGAACCCCGGACCTTGTGAAGGCTGGGAGCGCCCATGATCACTCACTGGCAGGTGACTGGTGTGTTAGCAGGGGCACTTACTCATTGGAAGGGGGCTGGACTTAGGACAACTCAGGTATTAGTCAAAAGATTGTCATGAGGCAGGTCACAGGACAGGACATTGTTACAAACACTCTGTGGGGGCATCTCTTTTTCCCTTCTCCTCGTATCCTCTCTACCATGCATTCTCTCTCCTTACGGCACAACCCGGACACTTGTACCTACCATGGTTCCAACACTATGCTTCCCATCCCTATTGTTCTCATCGCTATTGTTCTTTCCGCCATTGTACTACGTGGCCACAACACCACGTGACTCCTTTGTCCCCATTCGCTATTGTTCTCCATCATTATTGTCTTGTGACTATTGTTCTCCGATTAGTCAGTGACTGTGTACTTTAGTATATAAGGACAGGTCTTGCACTGGGCACCCCAGTTTAACCTCTTGTACCAATCAAGTGTTCTCACTCCCTAGACCCCTAGTGACCTCGAACCCCCAGACCCCCAGTGAACCAGTGTGCTAAGCCTGTCATCAGTCTGCGTCCTCGTTGTGCATAACCTGCACACAACCCCTTGAGTGCTGACACGCTTCGCCGTAACATAACCCAGACCCCAGCAACCTCGCCAACCACTGCGTCTACAGCGTCCCCTCCACCTACTCAGACTAAACCCATTACCACTCAGCCACTAGTCACTATGGAAACCACTGCTCCCCCACCTAAAGTAGTCGAAAGGAAGATTCGTCAGCCCTCCGACTTCTCTGGGGATTGTCTCGAAGCAAGCACCTTTCTGAACACCTGCTGGATGTACCTCCGTGTCAACAAGGATGCCTATTCAGACGATGAGGACAAGGTGATCTTTGTCCTGTTGTTCATGGTGGGGAGAACCGCTGCCCCTTGGAGAGAGGCATGTGAAGAAGATGTCTTCACGGTAGTAAACAATGAAGAGAAGGGTTTTGGCACCTTCACTGACTTCGCTAGGGACTTCAAAGCAGCCTTTGAACCTCTCTCCCCAGTCATGGATTCAATTACCAAGCTCAAGGCCCTGAAGCAGACAGGCCTAGCTAAAGACTATATTGCCCTCTTCCGACCTCTAGCAGCGCATTCAGGGGTCAAGGAGTTAGAAGTCCTGTCTGACTACTTCCTGTCCAGACTATCCTCTAGACTTGTTTGAAACATTCTCTCAGCTCAGACACTACTCACAGACATAGAGGGATATTACTCTTTGACCGTTAGGCTGGATTTGCAGTGGCGTAAAGCCACGGAGTACACAGAGGCCTCCAAGCCTTCCCAGCCAACATCTGCCCCTTCGAAGCCCACTGGCTCGACATCTGCCAATTCAGTATGCTTGCGAAAGCTGACAGACGAGGAGCGTGCCCTACTGGCCAGTAAGGGGGCTTGCTTCCACTGTTGTTAAGTGGGTCACATCACTCAGAAGTGCCCTCTCCAAGGAAACAATCCGAAGCAGAGTACAAGCAAGCCCACCTTTCAGAAGATTCGCTCTCTGAACACACAGGAGGAGAAACCCAGTCCCCCCTCCGAACGTTCCATCGACCACATTCGTGGGGTGTTCCAAGGTCTTTCCATACAGGAGAAACAGGAGGTGGTTACCTTGGTGGAAAGGGAGGGTTTTTGAAGTGGTCGCCTACCTCCACGTTAGGATGACTGCTGGTCACAGTATCTCCAGTAATTGTAGCAGACATATCCAAGCAATCCATGTATATACCTGTCTCTCTTACTTGTGAGAACCAAACCGTTGAAACCCATGCCCTCATTGACTCAGGAGTGGGAGGACTTTTCATTGACAAGGCCTTTGCCACCAAGTCTCGGCTCCCTAATACACTGTTACCGGCTCCAATTCCAGTCTACAACGTAGATGGTGCACTGAGCTCACAAGGATCTATCACACATGCTGTCCACACAACCCTAAATGCTGCGGGAGTTGACGGTGACTCCTAACTACTGTCAACTGCCCTGGGCAATGAAACTGTCATCCTGGGGTTACCATGGCTGCAGCAACAGAAGGCGGTCATCGACTGGGCACACAACACAGTTGAGATCGCAGAAATAAGGCCAGAACTGTTGAATCTCATATTATGTAATTGAGCTCACATTGTGCTCACGATGGTCTTGTTTCGTCTTGTACTGTATATTTTGTCTCAGAGTCTTGTCTACATGTATATATATAGTCTGGCTTGCAACACGTAGTACCTTATGTGTTTGCACTGCGCCCAAACGCAACTCCTTTCAACTACAAGAACAACCCGCAGAAAGCCTGTCCCTCGACGACAATGAAGTCCTATTGGCCTACATCAAGGGTGAACCTGTGGTGGGGATCTTTCAAGACACCTCTGATTCGCCCCCTGCCACAGAACACCGGTATACTGCCCCCATAATCAAGCACCTCTCTCCCTCAACCGAGTCTTGCACTGGAAATCCCCCCGAGGAAGGACCTACATCTGTAAAAACCACCTTTGCGAATTACACCTATTTAGCACAAATTAGCTCTTAATAGACACAGTAGTTGAATAGTGAAAAATAGTGCAAAATCGAGAGGTCCCCAAAAATAATTGCACTATTTTGCACTATCAGTGCAAATTCGTGCAAAATAGCATTATAGTAGACGGAAATAGTGCTACAGTAGACGTTGATAGTAGTGGATAGAGTGGGTCCATAATTTTTGACTAGTGTAGAAATGCTTAATATGACCTCAAAACCATCTGTTTATAAGCCTCAGATGCATTTAAAGTGCTGGAAAAATATGTCAAAAAAACTTTCTCAGCCAGTCTTGAACCCTCAACCTCACCTTTATATGACACTTGTTCCGAGGTGGTGCTCTATACCACTGCACCACCAGAGATTATATAAACCCTCTTCACAAGTACTATATATATTCATTTCTGCTAGACTTAGACAAAGTGGTGACACCTCACCTTGAAATTCACCTGCTGAGGCTTGCATATGTGTAATGTCTGGGAATATGTATATAATATGGAGTGTGCTATAGAGTATGCTTTATGATATGAATGCTGTGCTGGCAGCCTTATCCTATACATGATAACAAGTTCTATGTTGAGTTGTGCCCTCAAATATAAGTCAGCTATCATGGTGATTTTGCAGCTATAGAGGTGTATAATGCTTGAGTTGAGAACTATGAGCTATAAATAAAGGATTGTCATCTTATTTGAGTCTCCCCTAAATGAGTAGTGCTAAAATAGCACTAAATAGTACTACAGTAGTGCAAAATAGTGAAAATTAAAGGACCAAATTTGCAGTAGTGCTATAGTAGTATTATGTTGGCACTACATGGCACTATAGCAAAAGTGATAGTGAAGAGTAGTTATAGCTAGCTCAAGTATACTAATTAGTGCTTAGTTGCACTACTAAAGAAGCGTGTCTGAATAGTAGCTCTAATGCAGATATCATCTCTGCTAACACTTGCTAATATAGATGAGGTTATCTGAATAGTGATAATTAGCGTCAATTCGCAAAGGCTGTTTTTCCAGATGCGGATGCTGGGAAATACACATGGCCACCATTGGAGACCGGAAAGGAGATAGAAACCGGTATGTAAGTAACTATTCGTAAGCAAGTCCGGAGGTCCGGCGGAGTTAGCGCGGTGTCCGACGGAGTTCCGGAGGATCTTTGGCATAGGGTGTAACACTGTGCGATGTTATCACTGCTTACCACCTCTTTATAATCTGGCCTCCTGGACAGAGGGCCGGCTGGTTGCATTATTTTCCCAGGGCGATGTTTCAGAAAAAAGTTGAAGCGAGACATGAATAAACTCCATCGGGCTTCTCGGCATGTGCGCTTCTGTGCTTGCCGGAAGTAGGTGAGATTGAGGTGGTCTGACCAGATTTCAATCAGTTCGGGGTGTCCTTCCAGGTAGTGTCGATGTTCCTCCAAGGCTTGGATAATGGCTAGAAGCTCTTTGTCATAGGTCTCGTAGTTGCGCTCATGAACATTTAGGGACTTGGAGTAGAAGGCGACCGGATGCCATAGTTTATCTTCTCCAAGTTGTTCCGAAACTGCCCCTGTTGTGAAGTCGGATGAGTCTGTCTCTAGCCTGTACAGGGCCGTGTCGTTCGGGATCTGAAGAATTGGAGCTGTCGTAAATGTGGGTTTTGAGTCCTTCAAAGGCCTGCTCTTGTTCTTCTCCTTATTGTCACTGGATGTCCTTGCATGTGAACTTTGTGAGCGGTCATGCAATCTTGGCAAAGTTCTTAATGAAACATTAATAGAAGTTGGCTAATCTGAGGAAAGCTTGAACATGTTTGACTTTGGTCGGAGAGGCCATGTTGAACAGGCACTGGTTTACACAGCTTGCCTAACACAGCCGTCACAAGATATGGAACGGCACAGCTGGTTACTGCAACCGAGGCTGTACTACTCATGTGGTACACACACAGCTTTGCTGTATACGCACTGCTTCTCTGTGCAACTGTGCATCCTGGGAAGGTACTGTATAGTACTACGCAGCCACAGATGTACAGTAGGATATATAGGGGACTCCTGTACCCCCAATCTACAGTTCACTTCACTCAAACATCTTCTCTCATCGCTCTTACAAGCCTCTTACAACCAACCAACCCTTCTAGGTGAGTGAGTTGCAGGCTATCCGCTGTCGTTGCCACTCATGGGAGAGGCTTTTGCCCCTCGGGTTCAACAGGCCATTCCTTGACACCTTGCACCTTAGACTTGTCCATAGAGATGGAATCTTTTGACACAACAAGTCCGAGGAAGTGAACCGAGGGCTGTTCAAACTTGCACTTTTCAGGCTTGATAAAGAGGTCATTGTCACATAGCTTCTTCAGGACCCGTTCTACTAGTTGGTAGTGCAGAGTGAGGTCATCAGTGAAGATGAGAATGTCGTCGATATAGACCACAACATGTCTGGTCGCAATTTCTTCCTTTAGGACCTCATTCATCATTGCTTGGAACAAGCTGGGTGCATTGCATAGGCTGAAGGTCATAACTGTTGGTTCATACAGTCCTTTGTGAGTGATAAATGCGGCTTTCTCTTCATCTCCTTCGCGAATGCGAACATTGTTGTAGTCCCACCTTAGATCGAGTGAGGTGAAGATCGATGCATGTGAAGGCCTATCCACAAGGTCTGAGATCTGGGAGATCGGGAACTTGTCCGTCTTTGTGACCGTGTTCAGTGCACGATAGTCCTGGACCAAGCGTAAACTCCCATCTTTCTTACGGACAAAGAAGACTGGGGCAGCAGTAGGACTCTTGGACGTGCGGATGTAGCCTTTATCTTCTTGCTCCGTGATCCAAGCTTCAAGCGAGTTCCGTTCATCGAGGTTGAGCGGGTACAATTTGGCCGGCTTGGGGAGTGAGGCTCCAGGGACTAGTTCGACTGCATGATCATATGGCTTCCGTGTTGGCATTCTTTCTGAGGCTTTCTTGGAAAAGACGTTGCCATACTTCCAGTACTGCTCAGATACATGGTTTGACCAGTATTCGCGATCCTGTTCGCCTTTCGTTGCAGGGTTGGTGTCCTTTTTCTCTTCTAACCTGGCTCGCATTTAAGGCGCACTCGGGTCATCTGAGAAGTTCACCCAATGAATAAACTGATCGGTGTTCTCCCAGGATTCAGGGCCAGAGTCACCGTACTGATCTTGCGCAACATCTTCCACTCGGGGAAGTTGCAAACTCCATAGTTCTTCATCCTGCACTGTGTGCCAGGTGCATGTTGAGGGGCAGCATGTAAAGTCAATGTTCCCTGCATTCCAATCGAGTTCAGGGTTATGTTCACATAGAAACACCATGCCAATGATAATGTCTTGCCACCCAATGTCTGGGACAAGGAATGACTGCCAAGCAAGGTGATCTCTAATACGGAGTAAACAACGGACGTAATGTGTGATTAACCCCTTCTTATTCTCGGTGGTGTCTGCATTGAAAACTCGCACTTCACGAGAGTGGCGTCGTAGGGTGAGTCCATGTTCTTGAACAAACTGGTGGTGGATAAAGCAAGAATAGGCTCCTGAATCGAGCAGGGCTTCTGACTGAACTTCATGCGTACCTTGAGTGAGGGAAACTTTTAGATTGAACGAATTTTGCGGGCGACGAGCTGATGCGAGATACATAACATTCGAACGCGGAATAAAAAGAGTCCTCTGGGTCTACTCTATGATTACAGAGTTGGATACTTTGGTCAGTCTTCAAAGTACCCATCCAGGTTCTTTGAACTCGACGATGCGTGCAGCGGTCTCAGTTTCCGGTGCCTTGCCTTTGCCTTTTTCCTTAGCGGTCTCAAACTCCTCGAGGGCTTGATGGATGTACTCCCACTTGTCTTCTTTGGGCATGTCCATAGTGTGTACCTTGATAGGAGCGGCCAGCTGTTTATTCATGTCCGGAAGCTCATAGTAACCCGTGTACTGAGGATTGTGACACTTCTGGCCAGTTGTAAACTTGTGCTTGCCACAGCGGAATCAGAGCTTCTTGTCGAGCCATTCGAGCTGTTCCTTGGACAGTTTCTTTGTGTCAACGTCCATGGCATTGGGGTTCTGCAGAGGGCGACTAGTTGTGTGCTGCTGCAAAGACAACTTGGCCTGATTTCCACGAGTTTCCATTTCCAGCTTGAGTACCCAATCCAGATAGTGTTCCCATTTCGTTGGAATCAGCATCAGGTTGACTTGCTGCATTGCCGTCATGACTGTCAGAATTTGCGAGTTCATGCCAACTTGGTTGTCGATGCGATGGATGAGCTCTACATCGGCATAACCTGACTTTGAGGCATAGCGGCCGAAGTTCTCGGCAAACTGAATAACGGTGGTGTGCGTCTTCGAGCACCACTCTTTGAGGGATGTTTGTGCCGTCTTCTCCGGAGCCAGTTGACGATAGCCTGCCTTGAGTCGATTGACGAAGTCAGTCCAGGTTCCAAGGGATTCACCGCTTGCTGCTGTTTCGATGTAGTCCTCGATGTAGTCATGCACGCCACCTTCCAGGTACGTAAGTGCCAAGGTGATTTTGTCGTCGTCCGTAGTGATGTTCTGAATGCGGAACCAGAGGCCCATCTTCTGTAAACATTGCTCGAGAGTGACTTCTGAACCCTTGTTGCCTTTGTACTTGGGTGATTCTGAGGCTTTGATACGTGAAGCCTGTGATACGACAGGGGCTGGAGCGGTAGTGATACCAAACATGGTGCAGTTTGACAGGTCTTGTTCCAATTGCATAAACTTGGCTGTGAGTTCCTTGTACCATTTGACGAGTTCCATGTTGTTGTGATTGAGCATGTCCAGGTCTGCTTTGACAGTGATGATTTCTGCCTTCAACTGCTTGTTCTCTTCGACGGCTTTGAGTGCAAGGTTTCCGGCAGTGTCAGCCTTGGTGTGAAGTCCTGTCATTGAGCTGTCCATCTGTCTGAAGGTGGCGTGGGTGGTGTCACACTCCTTGAGGAAGTCGTTCCGATGTTCATATACCTTATTGCTGAGGACATTGTAAACGTTAACTACTTCGCGCCGGGTGATGTCCCTTGTCACGGAGATGGTCCAATCGACGTAGGCTTGGTTGGTGATGCCTAAACTATTTGCCGAGGCACAGATAGCGTTTTCGAACGAGTCATACTCAACACCAGCATAGATCCATTGAATTTCCAGGTATGCTTGAAGCGTGGCAGTGGGTGAAGCTGGGCGGGTGTGTGCCTGTGATGGAGCCGGGTGGGTGTGTGAACCCGGGTCATCTGACTCAAAGTCATCCTCTGCCAGAGGGGCGTAATGTGGGCCTGAGGCCATTGGTATAAAATTATGCCTGATACAAAACTAAACGATGATTCAATCCAAGTACCCAAACTGTTCTAACTCCACTAGAGCTTTTAGAACATGTTCGAAGTTCTGTCCAAGTCCACTGAACTTGACCTCTCCAAGTTCCTTACAGAACCAGTCGATGTTCTGTTGCTGACTACAAGTCCACGAGGTGCTGTTCTCCGTGATGTTGTCGAGTATCCACTCAAGCCTGTCGCCAATGTGCTGAAGGGCGAGCCGATGATCGTGGGGGATGTCGAGCAACTGATCCCTGTGATCAAAGATAGCCTGCAGTCTTTTGATGACAGCGTTGATCTTGGAGCCGACGATAGCGAGAAGATCAATGGGATCACGACGTGCGAAGGAGGGGATAGGCGGTGCAGAGATGCGGTACTGAAGAGGGACCGTAGGAGTGGATGGAACAAAGGCTGGTGGGGGTATGGTGAGACGTGCAGCGAGTGGTCTGTCGAGAGGTTGGGAAGAGAGTACAGGTGGGGGGAGGGCCTTGCGATGAGGGACAATAGGGGTATGTCAATATTGACGGCAATGACAAAGGCGATCTGATGTGTTGTCCGCAAGGGTGCAGTCAATTTGGGACTGGATGTCGAGGTGACCATGTCTCTTGAAGTGACAACGGGTAAACTCCGGTCGGATGGAAGGATAGTGGGAGGGGATGATAAACATTTCAAAAAACTCCTGGGAGAAGAGGTCCGGTCTGCAAGTGGTTGAGACACTCCACGGAGGGGATTGGTAAGAGACTTGATCTAATGTCACAGCCAACAAGCTGTGCCACCAGATAAACAAAGACAAAGCTTACTGGTGAAGGGGTTGGTACTGGGAGCGAAGCAACCGCAAGTGACACAGCAAGAGATGATGTAAGAAGTGTATTTCCTAGACTAGAAGAGGCAATGAGGAGGTAGGGCTGCTAGCTAGCTACAGAGGAGATGGGTGATTGACGAGAAGATCAAGTCTGAGGTTCTCTGCCTCAGACCCCCTACTATTTATACTAATACAAGGGTGCACAGACCAGGTATCTATTGTCCATCGTTTGGTCAGAGTTCCCACTGACTCATGTTCCGTCCCGTGACCTGCCTTATGACATCCTTACAACTAATACCTGAGTTGTCCTAAGTCCAGGCCCCTTCCAATGAGTAAGCACCCCTGCTGACACACCAGTCACCTGCCAGTGAATGATGGTGGGCACTCCCAGCCTTCACGAGGTCTGGGGTTCAAATCCGGCTGCTCTAGTTCCCAATACGAGTTGTCCGTGGTTAGGGTGGGCATCTGCCTTGGTACACATGACACTCAGGTCACGTGGCACGAGAAAACTGTGCAAGCGATGTACTGGAGCTTCTTTCAGTGGCTGAAACATCTGGAGTCAAGAACTTCATTGACCTTGTACTCCTCCCCCTCCACTTCAAAATGGGCTGGCTCAAGTGGATGATGACCTGGGAGGTTACTGTGCTAATGGGGTGTGAAGAGAGAGATGTGGAACACTGAGTGTATTTGCATGTCCTTGGAGAGTGCAAGCTTGTATACTAGGGGTGTGATCTGTTTCTTGACCATGTATAGTCTGACCAGTTGATCAACGAGTTTTTGTGGTATTCCTGTAATATGCCAGTTACAGATGTTGAGCCAGACCTTCTGACCAGCCTTGATGGTTGACAGCTCTTGAACGTGCTTGTTAAAGTTCTCCTTCATCTATTCAGCCACCAGGCCTAGTGCCGCTGTTGTGTCTTCCTATACCTCTGTTGCGTCTTACCGTGCCTTTTGCAGTTTCTCTTGCTGTTGGTCTGCAGCCAGCACTTCTGTGTCAAGAACCGGGATGTGAAACTCTGGATCATAGTTAAATATGAGGAAGAAGGAGGAGTACCCAGTGGCCAAGTGAACTCATGAGTTGAAGGCGAACCCTGCAATCAGAAGCCACTGCACCCAGTCATCTTGTTGCAGAGAACAGAACATGTGGAGGTAGGCTTCCAACTCTTAGTTTCAGCGTTTGGACTGTCTATTGGTCTGGGGATGATATGCCGTGGATAGCACACTTTTGATGCTAAGGTCCTTAAGAAACACACAAAACAGCTTGCTCAAGAACTGAGGTCCTTGGTCTGAGATGATCTTCCACAGGACTCCATGCAGTCAAACATGATTACGGATGAGGTTCCATACTGCTTCTTTAGTGTCAACTTCCTCGTCGGTCATAGCAAAGTGTACCATCTTGCTATGCCGGTCTGCCGTGACTTAAATGGTGTTGTACTCCACTCCAGTGACGGTGACTTTAGAGAGTCTGACGATGAAGCCTGTGGTCATAACGTGCATCAGACCATCCGGGATCTCATTGGGTCACAAGAGGTTATAGGGTTTCATACATGAAGTCTTTTCTTGATGGCAAGTGTTGCAAGTCCGCGTATAGTCCTTTACAAACTGAGCCATGCCATACCAATGGTAGTTGCACAACAGCAGCTCTACCGTCTTCCAAACTCCTAGGTGTTCTACAAGGGGAGAGTCATAATGAAGTCATACCAGCTCAGTCCATAGCTCCTGATCATTTGGGATATAGATCTTGCCTCAGTACTAGAGGAGATCCTGTTTGATGTTTCAATCAACTAAGTCATTTCATAGTGCGGATGGTTTAAGCTTCTTTACGTGCTTCAGGGCCTCCACCACCGCTGGTTCAAAGTTCTGGTGCTCTGAAATATGCCTTAGGAGTGCCTTGTCTGGTACAACAGTGAGATGATTTCATCTGCTGGCCAATATACAGAACTGCTCAGGATGTAGCATGACTTAAGCCAGGTTGTCTTCATCATCTCTATGCTGGTAGTCTGGTCGTATTGACAGTGTGTCTGCATATCTGTTAGAGACACCAGGCTTGTGGGTGATGACGAAGTCAAACCGCAATAGGTACAGGGCCTACCGTGCCTGCCTGCAAGTGGAGAGGGCACCATTGGCCCCTCGAATAGTGATGAGGGCATTATACAGGGGGGAGTTGTTTGTGACCTGAGTTAGGCAGCGGTCGTATGTGTCGTTGGGAAGGTTGGCGACTTCAACAAGGAGTTGGTGCAGGGCGTGAGGCGCTGCCCAAACGGCTGCAGTAGAATGAGAGTAGGAGGACATAGTGAGGATAGCAAGAGGAGGTTAGGAAGGCTAGTGTTTGCATTTCTTACCCCCTTTCCGAGGTAGGGGGTGTTCTTTCTTATAGGTGTCAAGGAGTTCTGCAGTGTTCTTCAGGTTGGACTCGTGTTCCCACGAGTTCTCCGATGGTAGATATTCCTTCCATTTGACTTGATAACGGTATGTCCTTCTGTGCTTCTTTCGTCCCACGATGGTCTCTACTTCCCACTGTTCCTCATGCTCGACTTCATCGGGTGGAGGATAAAAGAAGTTGGGGCCATGTTCTTTGGTCTCGTGATATGGCGATAAGAGGGTGGCGTGGAATACATCGTGTATCTTCTATTGTGCTGGGAGTTTTAGCCAGAAGGTCAGTGGTCCGAGTACTTCAACGATTTTGAGAGGTCCATGACGCTTCAGTGCAAACTTCTTAGGGACTTGGAAGAATCTGATGTTCTTGGCATCGAGCCACACCAAGTTGCCTTTCTTGAAAGGGGTAAAGGCTTTGGTGACACGCTCGGCCATATGCTAGCATGCAAGTTCATGGGCGGCTCAGGCTTCTGCCCGAGCCTTCTGAAGGTTGGAGAGCCATTCCTCCACGGAGGGTACATTTGTTGGCAGGGTTACCGTGGGTATGGCATGGGGATTGTAGCCCATCATGAGAAAGAAGGGCGAGGCATTACGTCCTTGCGCAGTTCGCTGATTATGTGCAAACTCTAGGTCGGTCAGGTGTTCAGTCCACTTGTCTGGTTTGTCTGTGCAGTACTTCCGGAGGTAGGCTTCGACTACTTGGTTCATGCGATCTGTGCCTCCGTCGGTCTGAGGGTGGTAGGCGGTGCTCATAGACGACTGAGTGCCCGATAGGAGTGTGATTTCCTGAAAGACCTTGGAGGGGAATTGAGGACCACGATCAGAGATGATTTGTGACGGTACTCCAAAGTGTTTGGTTACGAAGTCGTGGTAGAGTCTAGCTGTCTTGAGGGCATTGACCGTTTTTGTGCAGGGAATAAGAATTACCCCCTTTGTAGCATCGTGGTCTGCCACGACCATGATTGAGTCAAAGACTTGTTCGTAACGGTCAGTGGAGGGAGGCAGGTCAGTGATGAGGTCGACGGAGGAAACTTCAAATGGCAGGGCATTCAGTTTTGCTGCAATTGGTAGCAATGAAGGAGACATGGGATGAGTGTTAGTGTTTGCTTGTTGGCATATGGCGCATCCTAAGCAGTAGTTCTTGACAAACGATGCCATACCAGACCACCAGTAGTCCCTCCATAGGAGTTCGAGGGTGCCAAATTGTCCTGGGTGTCCTATGAGTTTATGGTCATGGTAGTGTTGGACCATGTCCCGTCGTAGTTCCTCATCCAAGGCAATGTAGCAGCATTTCTGATAGAAGACAAGGCCATCCTCGAAGATCCAGTCCTTCAACGTGGATTTCATTGGTAAGACCCCGCCCGTTTTGACCGCTGCAAGAGTGTCGAGTACTACCTGATCTGTCTTGAGGACTGCACGAATGCGGTCTGCTAGGCTGATGTTTATTCTTGACATGAATAGGTGATCAGGTAGTAGGATAACAGCATCATTGTCATTGATCTCTAGGTTCAGATGTTGCAGACAGGATAAGGTGTCGGATTGGACCATACAAGTGCCAGAAATGTGACGCAATTCGAGTTCGAACTGGGACAGGATCAGACTCCATCTAGCCTGATGGTGATTGAGTTTCTGAGTGGTACGGATGTAGGTCAGGTTCATGTGGTTGGACAGGACTAGCACGGAGTAGGGACTGCCTTCCAGGTAGTGTCACCATTCCTCTAGAGCGCGCACTATTCCAAGTAGTTCCCTATTATAGATCTCATAGTTCCGTTGGGCAGCATCCACTGATTGGGAGAGGTAACCGCAGGGGTGCATGTCCCCGTTGATATCTGCTTGATGGAGAACTGTGCTGGTGGAAAACTTAGAGGCATCAGATTCAATGGTGAATGGCTTGGTCTTATCCGGCATCTGCAGGACTGGTGCACTAATAAAGCATTGCTTGAGAGTGTCAAATGTGTGCTGTTCTATATCAGTCCACCTCTATGGTGTGTCCTTCCTTGTAAGATCATGAAGGGGACGTGCTAGGTTGGAGTAGTGGGATATGAAGCGACAGTAAAAGTTGCCAATTCCAAGAAAGGATTAGACTCCTTTGACAGTTGTTGGGGCTGACCAGTTGATAATGCCTTCGAGCTTAGCAGGGTCCATAGCCACAATGTTGGGCCGGATGATGAGGCCCAAGAACTCGACTTCGGTGACATCGAAGACACACTTCTTGGGTTTCAGGAAGAGGTCGTTTTCCTTGAGACATT